GAGACGATCTGAGTAACCGACCCATTTCTTTTGATAGCCAGAATCGGCCAATGACCCGGGGCGATCCCTCGTATGTGTCTCTCCCCCTCCCCCGGCAGAGTGATGGGGTCTCTGGCTTACGCTTCGTCTTGTTCTGCTTTATATACACTCCATTGAGGAATGGGAACAACACGATCTGGCACTGTCATGGCTGCCGCGGGCTGAACTGGCGGTGGATTCTGACGGATGTGGAAATTGTTCTGTTGTCTGACACGTTCCAGACCTCCGACAGATAGACAGACGATGGCTCTGTGACCACTTTACACAGACGGAAATAATTGTTCTGCATATTTAAGGACGTGCGAGCCTTGTAGTCTGCGCACTTCTAACGTCCGTTCTTATTCCAGGCTGACAAATGTGCAGAAATATATTTTTTTATTTTTAGACTTTTACAATGTTGAATAATGTAACTGTGTTTTACAATTACATTGGTTAAGCGATAGCGCTGCAGATCCCACTACAGCCTGCGGGTGGCGGTGATGATCTCCAAGCTGACGGCTTATGTTGCCAATGAAGCCTCCATATGCCTGACATATGACAACATGTGACCTCACATGATCGGGGACCACTCAGGCTCCTGATCGTCAGTGTGGGGACCCGAGCTATCAGTCACCACCAGGAGCCAGCAGCTGCACATAGGGTCTTGTGGCTATGGGGAAGGGGTGGTGGGGAGACAGGGGGCCGATTCTCAGCATTGTGCTAGGGGAATATTATTAAACCCATTGGGGCAAATGGGCAATGTCCTTCAGACGCACCCATTTTTACATGGCTAGTGTATGTCTATGGCCACCTCGACACTGGGAGCTTGCTTGCAGGAGGGGAGAGCAAAGAGATGTCACGTTGATGCTCCAATGCAGATAGGCAAAGGCTGGACATTTTTGTAAATGGCCCCTAAAGCCTCAGCCGGGCCCGCCATTCGCGTCTGTATTCCGCGCCCCCCCCAAGCCCGGTGGTGTGGGGGGAGGGGGGCTTTAAGGACTTCAGCTGCTTAATTCTTGTTAATTGCTTTATAAATGCTCCTGAATCTGATACTTTTGTGAACGAGCCGGGATTAGACGGCGGCCGTGTTATTTCCTCTCAGTCCTGACTTTGGATAAAGAATTTGATTCCCTTCCATTCCCAGCGGACGGGATGAAAGTTTCCACCAGAGATCCGTTTTATTCAATGATCGGCGATTCCAGCTGATTGCAGGAGAGAGCAGAGCGACCGAGAGGAGCTCATCCGTCTTCTGCTTCTCCTTTCACTGCACAATTTTTACAGGCTGGGGGTTGGGCAAGACCTGAGCGTGTTGCTGAAGTGCAGCAGTGAACAGCCCCCCCCACACACACACACACACACACACACACCTTGTTGCAGGACGAACAGCGTTGTCCTACTGGCAGGATCAACAGGTAATACAATTGCTACAGTGGGCAGTTCTTAATGATAAGTCCATCTGCACTATGTAGTTTCCTCAGTCCCTCTGCAAAGTCCCACAAATACCCGTTGATCCTGCCAGTGAAGTCCACCTAATGCAACTTCCAGAGCAGAGTTGTCACCCTTATGTAGGCTGTGCATGCTTGCCAGTGGGAGGAGATGTCACATGACGGTGTGGCGATCAGCATTGTCACAAGCCTGTTAGCTTGTTAATCAGCATCTGGCCACACCCACTGCTTTCTGGATTGACAGGCCTGCCTCTGCTGCCTCCCATTGTGAGCTGCAGTGTCTGGGGAAGGGGAGCGTGTGAGAACCAAATGGAGGATTTGCATTGGTCAGGGAAGGTAAAGGAGGTTTTTCTTTGAGGCTGTAGCTGATAGTTACTGGATTTGGGACTTGTTTAGACCGTCATAGAGGAGCCTTTAGGCCTCATTCACATGAGAATCGGCCGGTACGTACAGCTCCATGCTGTGTGCACGGCCGTATCGGGCAGCTCCCGGGAAGGACAGGTAATGGGTGTGATTAGTACGCAGCCCCCGTCCTTCTCTATGGGACTACGCTGCCGTACATCGCCCTGCGCGTCTGTATGAGTGCGGGTGTCCGTACTCGTACGCTGACAGGATGGATCCTCTGAGTCCAAGCCGGGACACCCGCACCCCTACGGACCTGCACTTGAGGTGAGCATAGGGCCGTGTACTCCCATAGAGAAGGACGGGGGCTGCGTACTAATCACAAGGACGGGAGCTGTACGTGCCGGCCTTTTCTCATGTGAATGGGGCCTTAGTGTCACTTTATCAGGGGCCTCGTGCAAACAACTCCCACACGTGCAGTACTGCACACACAGGGCCTCATGGCTTCCACCGCCTCTGCGGTATTCGGCGCTTCCTCCCATGATAAGCATACGTTTCAGCCACCCCCGAGTGGGATGACGGCACATCACTTGGTAGTTGCATAGTGATACATTTTAAGCCCGGTTCACACCTGGGCGTGTTGTAGCGCGTTCCTACGCTCTGCAAAGCGCTCAAACACCGAAATCCCATTATTTCCTATGGGCATGGTTCACACCTGGGCGTATTACAGGCCGTTTGAACGCGCTACAAAACACCTTATGCCCAAAGGTGGCGTATTTGCCGCGCGTATCCATTGGGATACAGCCAAGTAGCCCTCGGAAATACGCGTTTGACGCGCGTTTTTTTACCGCGAATCGCTGTAAAAACGTGCGTCACAAAATGCGCATATTCAATACGCCTAGGTGTGAACCCAGCCTTAGAGAGAGAAGAGCAGCCCAGAGTCCATGACTTACTTTGGCCAGAGGCCCACTGGCAAATATCGTCAGTACTACAGCTTCTCACTATGCTCCGGAATCCCATCCTTGTCAGTCCTAGCTCGGTGGTTTCCCCCCTCCCGGGGAATCTCTGTAGCTCTACATAGTCCTAGGCCTGGTCCTGTCCTTCCCATGGACCAGCCTATGTTTTAGAATCAATCTCCCTCCGGAGACTCTGCAGACAGTCTTAGACCCCGTTCACATTGAGCGATTTATCGCGCGGTAATTCCCGCGATATCGCGGCAAATTACCGCGCTCCAATGCAATCCAATGGGGCAAAGGGTCCTGCT